TGTATCATCATGCTGAGCGCTGTGGTGGCCTAGAGGTGAAGTCTGTTGCCTCCCATTCGGGATGTTTCAAGTTCAATCCTAGCTAGTGACAGATGTTTCTTAGAGCACAGGGAAAATATCTGCTGTCAAATCCACATTGGCATCAGGAAGAGCATCTGGCCAGCAAACACTCAGCTTCATTCAATCACCCCGACTCTACCCCAATAAAGGGATTACACAGTCATTAAAAGAAAAAAAACATGCTGCAATATTTGCATTATGTTCATAGCTAATTCAAAATTTGTGAATTAGAACAGCTGACACTACAGGAGGATTTGCTGTACATTATAACTGCTTCATCATATGTCTCTAAATGCATTCAGTTCTGAAAGAATTGGTGGCATAACTGCTGATATAGAATATAGTCCATTTTTTAGATTAGCCATCTATAAACTTCAGTACTCAATCCCCAGATGTAAAGTGTGATGTTGAGTGGAAAAAGTTTGCAGACAATTATTTGAAAAATAACATAGATATATAGAGCCAGTTGGAAACAAATGTTGGTCTTCAGTTGAAGGAAATGATAGAATGTTTCAATGTAGATTTCAAGAAGGCAGACAAAATTGTGATTCCTAAAATTAATGCTGTGAATTAATGGCAGTCAGAAAACATGTGCAAATACATATGTGCTACATTGGTTTGACTACATTTAAGTCAATTGAAATTAGTGGACAAGATAGTCTATTCTTCAGGATTTAGCAATATTGACTTCAACAGAAAAAAAGCTTGACTAACATAGCCTGGATTCAAACAAAATGCAACAATCATACAGTATATGTTCACAACAATGCCCTACAATACAACTGAGAAAGTATACATCCATCATTAAATTAAAACAGGTATGAATCTAGGTCATGTCAAGATTAATGAGAAATAAGATGGAATAGCCAAGCCCTACACTAATCCTCTAATCAAATAAAAAGGTCTTTAAGCCCCTTTTAAAGGCCATCAAACTTTCAGAGACAAGGGGAAGAAAAACCTGGTTCCAAAGCCACGGAGACAGGATTCACAGCTCAACACAAACACACACCATCCTAGCCCAATGTTTGAGGAAAGAGCCAGCTTTTCATAACCCTCTGGAATTCTAAAAGGGTAGGGGTCCCTCTAATTTTTGATGAGAGGCTAATCCAAAGGATTGGGGTGGCCACCAAAAAGTGATGACACTGAGGTCCCATCAGATGGCAACATTTAAGGGAGGGGGACCTGGAGTATATCCACTCTCTCTAATCTAGAAGGAAGGGCTGATGTCCTCAGAGAGAAGCAGTCCTGCAAATAACTTGCTTGAAAGAAGTGTCATAAACTCAGGAAGATTAAATACTGAAAGAAGAGAGATTTTGTATGATAACATATTCTACATAACACAGCAAAGCCCCATTTTTTTAACATGCTCATTTTGCAGCAAATATATGGGAGTTGGAAGGATACCCAAGCATAAAGTTGTGCTTCTATTAATATCTTTAAGAGTTATTTTTCTGTAAATTATTATTTTGTCATTCTGATAGTATGATTTGGAAGTGGAATAACAAAATGTTGTAATTTGTATTCAGCAAAGAGAGGGGAAATTGATAGAGTCTCTATTTTTACAGTGTTGTTGTCTGCTGTGAAAACGTAAACATATATTACATTTATTAAAAGTATAGTATTACTACTTTTAACACTATAATAACATTTATCTTTAAATACATTTTTATTTGAGTGAAGGCATTAATTTTTCAAAATGATGTTATTCAGATATATTGTTTGAGGACTTAAGAAAAAATCAGTATTATGTAAAATACTATGAGAAGAGACTCTAAATTGAATAGGAAACTACTACAGTGACATCTAATGGAAAGTCTTATGTTCTGCCCAATCCCTCATACAATTACAAAACATGGGAAAGAACTAAATCTGCCTAGCCTAATCTCTGTTTTTCAAGTATATCCAACTCCTCCTCCCAGAATTTCCAGTCAAAATGCATAGTTAAGCATATATACACAAAAAATTCTGGAGATTATAGCTTAATCAATCTAAAAAGGACTGGCTGGAGAATGTTGAAGAATAAAAACCAGGAAAAGAATGACAGTAGGAAACATTTCTCCATATAGTGTATCTTATGTTATGGAATAAGTTTTTTTCATAGGTGATATGGTAGGCAATTTGTATACTGTACCTCAAAAGAAAATTAATCAAATTGAAAGGAGATGCTGTTATTAAAGGTAAAGGTTCCCTTTCCTGACTCTAGGGGGAAGTGCTCATCACCATTTCAAAGCCGAAGAGCCAGCACTGTCTGAAGATGTCTCCGTGGTCATATGGCCGGCATGACTAAACGCTGAAGGCGCACAGAACGATGTTACCTTCCCACCAAAGGTGGTTCCTATTTTCTCTACTTGCATTTTTTAGGTGCTTCGAACTACCAGTTGCAGAAGCTGAGAGAAATAACGGGACCTCACTCCATTATGCAGCGCTAGGGATTCAAACTGCTGAACCACCAATTCGAACTGGTTCTGATTGACAACCTCAGCATCTTAGCCACTGAACCACCATATCTCTGTTATGCAGTTATTACTGTACATCAAAAAGAGCATGCATATAAATACAAGTCAGTATAAAAATTCTAACTATAGTCTTTTTATTAGTATCCAGTTGGGTCCTGTGGGGCTTGATTAGATAACTCTTTGGTCAAATCCAGTAAGTATTACTCTTCTGCTATAAGAAAGCAGCTGTTAGCCATGTCCACTAGTATCTTCTCTGTTTATTTGATATAATTGAAAGATAATTTCCTATTTCATTGCACCTGTTTCTGGGCTAATTTTAACTATTAGAATAATATTGAATTCCTGATACTGAGACAAAATTTCCTTGCAAAATGAAGTTAAAGTTAAGGATCTGACAATAAATGTTGACAAGCAAGAAATCTGGCTGCCAGAAACCAGATTCACAGGTCACAGATTCATATCAGCCCAGCATCTCTCTGCTATTCCTTAAACCAAACCAAAGGACATTCTATAAATAGCAAAATAAATTCTGAAAATGGAAAACTGAACAAAAAAGGAAATAATCCAGTTTTGAAATGATCTATGGAAAACTCAAAAATATCATTATACAAATGCTGAAAGGATAAAAGAATCTGAAGATGAATTTAGTAAAATCATGCAAGAACTAATCATAAGAGTAATGGTTAAAAATTGAGTGGGAAAAAAAATAAAATTGGGCATCTGGAAATGTTCAAAATCTTGGATGACATCTAGAAAATTTGCATATTGACAAAATTTCCATTTGTCAATTTAAAAACACCACGCTATAAGGATTTGTGCATATACTGTATTGACATCCTAGAGAAAAAATTCTGCATATGAAAGCCAATACCAGCTAAAGAACTGGCAACTATGATTTCACATTTTTGTGTATATAATACCCATGAGACACTACTTTGACATAGTTGTGGAATATGTATGCTCTGGGGAAGATCAGAACTATGCCACAGGTTCCATCATACTGGGCAGGCCTCGTCTCTCCTATTTAAAAAATGGTTGAGATATAATTTACCAAAACCAGTATTAAATCAGCCGTTACCCAGGTCAACAAGGACCACACTAGGTGTGGCTGGAAATCTATTGATGAACTACAGGATTCAGGACTGTTGACTAAGCAATTAGGGCCAACATCTGAGGATTACTAGAAGAAAAGTTATTTACCAATCACAAATACCACTCAAACACCACCAGCATTGACAAAATCACCATCAATCAACTGTAAAAGGGAGCTTTACTTGGAATAGCTTACATCCTGCAACAGTACCTTTAACATTTAACAACATCTGCCTCATCCAGGTCCTTGGGAAACACTTGATAGGTGGACAAAAATGCCAAATCCAATCTTAACAACTAACTGAATGTTTAATAATTATAGTGAGATGGGCTACTTTAAGAAATAGCAGAGTGGTTCTGGGTTTATGCTTAAATGAGGCCTGAATCATATGTTCTAATTGTCCAAAGTAAGTATAGCCTGACTTACTATTCACAAAAATAAAAGGGTATGCAACGTCCTTCTTCCCTATGAAAGATATTCGAAAAAAGTGCTTCATATGCACTTCACACACCCCGCCCCCTAAAGTTATCCAGCCCTGGGATGGTAACAAATTAGATTGCTCTCTAAAACGTTTGAATCAACAGATTAAACATTTACCAGATTGTTCCATTAGATGGCAGCGAAACTTTATTCTGCAACTGATGGTATTACCTGTTACACAAACCAGCCAGAAGATTTAAAGGAAGTTCCCCACGCCCAGGGTTCTTGTTTGGAAAAACATCTTAGAGGAGAAAGAGAACCTTACTGCAGTTAGAACAAGGCAGGCGCTTAATCTTTCATTCAGATGACTCATAATGTAGGCGCTTTTAGAAGAGTACACGGATCACCATATAAAATATAAAACAGTAAAGTATTTGCACGTGAAATCAAAATGTATTGTTTCGGACGGTTCTCCCCCCACTTCCCTCCATAACACGTCATCACTAAGGAAAGGTATTCAGGCCCATCTCTTTCATTTGGGGTTTCAAAGGGAGTTATGGTTTGTTTTGACACCGATGTTATGTTGATGCAACCGATCGTTCTGCACCAACCTGCTGGGTTTTAGTCTAAAGCGGCGGGGGCGGTAATAAGAAAAGCAGTGTGTGTAAGGACGACACCAAACTCCCATCAGTTTCGATGAAAACCGAGACGGTCTCCTAGTAAACATATTGGAAATAAATCTCATTAAACACGTGTGAGATTTCTTCCGAATTAAAAAAAAAATCTGAGAAAAAGAGTCCGGCAACCGGGGAGAGGCCACAGAGCAACAGCGGGGAGATAGCAATGTAGGTCAATTACGTAGACTTTCATTCAAGGCGCTTCTTGGGGTTTTGCTTCTGTTTACGGAGTTTCGGACGCCAACTCGCAGCGCCATTGCCGGAAGAAGTCCTGGGGCTCCTGACAGTGACGGGTGTCATATGACCCAAGGAAAGATGGCCGAAGACGGGCAGAGCGGCGAGGAACTTGCGGCTGGATCGAGAGAAGATTTTGAAGTCGTTGATTGCGCCCAGATCCCCAGCGCCTCTGAGCTGAAAAGCGATGGCAAAGAGAGGGGGAGTCCAGATGCCAGCTGGTCCGCTCCCATCTTGTCCCTGGCCAAGAAAGCCTCGGAAAACTTAGCAGTGAGCTACGGAAACGCTCTGAAGTCTGCAGCTTCGGTAGGACTCATTCCCAAACCACTCAGCAATGACAGCTCAGCAAAACAAAGTATGGCTATGTTTATTGCTTGTCTTTGGTAATGGTGGTGTGGGGTGTAAAGCGAGTAAGTGGCTTTTATCGTGGTAGAGGAGGGACTGGTTATAGAAAACTTTCAGGGTGAGTTGACTTCAGACTAAGAATGTATTATAGAGTCTTGGCTCTGGGAGTCGTTTTTCCTTTGAGCTGGACCTTTTCTTTGTATTCCATCTTCATTTTGTTAACGTTTTCTGCACATGCCTGGAAATGATCTCCACATGTTGAAGGTCGATGCCCCACATTTAAAAATAGATTCATGGACAAGTTGTAGAAAACATTTCTAGTTATTTCTAGATATATATAATGCAGCTTATATTGAATCGATCTTAGAATATTTGACAGGTAGGGAGTCTCTGTTTGAGACTCATCTTTTTTCTCTTGGATCTGGATAACATGACTTGGTTTGTTTTCTTTATATGACAGTACAGTTCTACAGTACAGTTCTACTTGAATTAAAATACCAAAAAAACATTGCTATGTATAAATTGGCAACTTATATTTATTTGCTGAATGTTGAAGTCTATCAGATTATAAATATGTTGTAAATTACATTGTGTCTAGGCTTACATATCACAGTACATTTCCACAGAGAAATCTAATTGCAGAAATTTTTAATATACAAACTTAAGTAAACTAAAAAGGAATAAAGTGTGAGTTACAAATAGGAGAGACAAAACATGGTGCTGACAAAGATATGGTTTAGCTTAGGCCCTGCACTTTAGGATATAGCCATTAGATATAATGCAGTGATTCAGATTCCAAGAGATTATTTAGAGTATGTCAGCTTTCTTAAATCAAACACAGCTTTCATGTGATAAATCCCAGGGACCCCAGGAAAAGGTACAGCTTCTTTAAAAGGAGTTGGGTGCAACATGAACACCCCCAAACATTTTCAAATCAAATTCTTCTTCAAATGTACATTGCTGCACAGCCCTAATCTCTCCACATGGAAACTTACCAGTCCATCAAAAGTGTTCAGTCTTAGATTTCTACATTCATGGAGGAAGATTCATTGTGTTTATTAAGATTCCCATGTAAGCATTATTTAGAGACAGTTGAGGGTAGTGGTTAAGGCATCTGGATAGAAACCAAGAGACCACGAGTTTTAGTCATGCCCAAGGCATGAAACCATCTGGTTGAAGCCAGTCACTTTCTCTCAGCCCTAGGAAGAAGATTATGGCAAAACCTTTGCCAAAATATTGCAGGGACCTGTTGTGGCAGTCCTAAGAATCTGATGTGTTTGATTGGAAGAAAAAAAAAGGTTTATTTCCTTCACAATAAATAATGTGTTAACAATAATCAATTTCAAAAATAAATTTGATAAAACTGATTACCTGCAAGAATTTTAATATTGTCCTATCAAATGAAATTTTCTAGTGAGATGATTATATAAATATATTTCTAGTCCTAAAGGCATGAGTAGAATGAATTAATTCCATGTATAAATTATGTGGCAGAAATAAAATGTGTTAATGATGCAGAGAAATCAGTTGAATGGAATGTAAATTCATATACATATATTCATCAGAATCTGAGAATTAAAGTAGTGTACAATAGAGTATTTCAGAAGTACTAGTACTTATCAAGATTTAATGGATAGTAATTATTTTAAGTGCATATGTATGAAGCATATCCTAATTCCTGGAACATTAAACTATAAAGTTGTCATCCAAATGAAAAGCAATGTACTTTTTTTATAACGAGAAAAAAAGCACACCAAGAGTTTGAGAAGAAATGTAAATATATTAATAAATTCCACTTTGTCGAGGGAATCATAATTCTTTCAATTCAAGAAAATTGACTTTAAGATAAAATTATAATACAACTAAAATGTTTCATTATTCATACGTCATAAAAAATATTCTTTCAATAATCTCCTAAACACTGCTACTTTCCTATTTATAATTTAGTCCTTTATCACTTCATCCTATTATATAATTGTGCTTTCCAATAATGAAATACTGAACAATAGATTATTGCATTTATACTTTAGCAAATACGCAGTTGAATTTATAGGATTACACTAATACCTTATTTTGGTATTGTTCTTGTGTCTAAACTTGCAGGATATCTAGCATTAACTGGTTTATGGATTTGGGGAAAATTGATGGTAGCTAAATCATAGTTTATTCAATTAAGCCAATGTTTTGTGTTTGCATGAGACATTAAGTTATAAGCTGATTCCCTCCCCCCACTTCCAAGATGGGTTCATACAACATACAGTATTAGACTAACTAATTAGAACATTTTGTCTTGAAGAACCAGTTTGGTATAGTGGTTTAAATTTTAAGATACCAAGCTAAAAACCAGGAGACCAATACCTGCCTTATGCACAAAGTCAGCTGGGTGTCCTTGGGCCCCTCACTCTTTCTCAGACAAGGAAACATACAATGGAAAACCACTTCCCAAAAAATCTTGCCAAGTAAACTGCAGGTATTGGCTAGAGTCAAAATTGACTAAAAGGCAAAAGAAAGAAAATTATCAGGAAGAATTTATTTTCACCAATAGGATTGTATTCAAGAATTTCACATTTATCAGAAATAGAAAAATGTTTTTAAGTAAGAGAAAAAAGATATCTAAAAAATATGTATATACTACATCTCAACAAATTCTTATTTTTTTTAAATTGAATAGCCTCTCTGAAATAGGTTATTGGTGGACCATATGGTTTAAAAGGCTGTCATTACTTTATAGTCAGCCACATTTTAAGAAAATGCTCAGCAAGTTTAATACATTAAGATGGATATGCTGTGCACAATGATGCATAAACTCCAACACCGATGAAAATTGCTTCTAAACATGCAGCAACCATACCCATACTCTAGAATAGACAATATTAAAGTGGGGATTTAGTGTAACATCATGCTACAAATATTTTTAGGATTAAATATGAAGTATATTCAAATTCCTCCTGGAAAAACGGATCTTCTCCCTGCACATCCATCACATTTCTTTTAGTGGTTCTATGTATTTTATTTAAAGTTTTAAAAGTAATATATGACCATATACAGGTAGACTTTTAACAATTCCAAAAAGCTTGCAAGCTTCTAAAATCAAATTTCTGATTTCTGCTCACCTTTCATTTTGTCCACTGCACAAGCCACATGGGTACCAATACACGTGGTACATCATACAACTGACAGAAATGCTACTTCTCACTCATATGTTATCAATCTGGCTATACAAACTGCCAGGAAGAACAAATCCATAGCTGTGTGCCAGCCACAGCATACAGGCAAAAATCAAAACATAATTGCTAGGTTCGGTCTACCATGTCTTACAGATATTATTGTAGTCCAGGTGATCACACTCACCCAGGAGTCGTGCTTGTGAAAGGAATAGTGCTTGTAGAGTGCTTTAATTTAGACTGCTGGGGTACTTATGTTGTATTAAATCTGTTTTTTTTTAAATGGCAACTTCAAAACATATGGACTTCAACTCTCAGAATTCCCCAGCCAGCATGCTAACCTAGCTTACCGAGATGGTTCATTTTGATAAAAAGGAGTGGGGAAGTAAAAGTAATCCTGCAAGACACAGCGCAAATAGCGAAGGAGAGTCCCATGAGAATGAATCTAGTCTATGGGGAAGGAGGGGTTCTCCTCCCAGCTTGTCTTAGGTAAAGGCCGGCGAGAGATCCGTCAGAGATGCTTTACTGTGTATTGAATGCCACCTTCCAACTCTGATTCTGGGATCCTTAAAATTAAGAGTGTGGGGAAGCAGAACAGAATCCATTTAGAAAATGGATTTTAAAACGTTACGCTTCCCCAGAAAAAAGGAAGCGATTCTTAATGGGAATAGAAGCTAAAGCCCGCCGCTCATTGCACCCCCTAACGGTCGCGTGGGGAGAAAGCCTAAAAAGCGACCAACCTCCAGAAACAGGGACAACTAAAATGGCGCCTCCGCTTTCTTGTTTATAATGGCTCGGGAGTTTGCTGAGCCAATTTGCCTCTGTGTCCAATGAGAAGCGAGTTTGGGGGAGTGAGGATGTGAACATTTTTCTCCCCTGTCAAAACATAAGAAGGCAAATGAGAGAGCATGGCCAATCTGAGCCCTTGGAATGGTCGATGCAGCGTTGCAATTGGCTCGCAGAAAGGGTATAACAGATTCCGTGTGTTTTGTCCAACGAGAGGCCTCTCCTTGAACGTGGAGAGGGTGGGAAGTGTTACTCGGGTAACGCAGGTGCAGGTGAGAAACCAATGGGGAGGGGGAGAGGAAATGACAGTTTTGCCTGTGGAAGGCTGGAGTATACACGTGATCCATCCCGGGAGGTGGAGACGGGGAATCGCCTCCGGGGAAGCTTTTCAGGACTGAGTAGACCGTTGTACGTCTGTAAGTGTGGGACCGGGGAGAAAACTCATGCACGAGGATGACTTTGCCTTCTTTGCAATGGAAAACTGCTTCTCCTGATTTTCGGATGAAATTGCAATGCGTGCTTTCTCGCTGTAACGTCTGAATAAGGCCGAGAATAAATCATGGGGATTTCTTCTATAACCTTGACGATATTCTATAGCCACGACTGTTTTTTGTACTAACATGCTTAACAAAGATTTCTTCTGTCTGTGTTTATAAGCAACCATGATGGCCATTCCTGTAGGGAACATGAAATAGGATTGAAAATGTTGCACTGCAAGCATCCTTCTGGGGAGAATGGAACAAAAGTACCTGTGCACTTTTAAGTATTGTTGCACTAATGAATATATCTAGTGCTAATGTATCTTTCACTAATGATAGTGACCTACTTATTATTCACATTTGGGTATGCACACATGTATGTACCTGGGTGCGTTTTACCATATTGATTTAGAGCCCATTATTGTTATGCATTTTTTGTGCATAAACAGGAACTAAAAATACTTGCAGACTGTGGCCTTTTTTATGACTAGTACCTTATGCATGTTATTCCAGGTGCTGGTGGTTTTCTTATACACATGTCTACTTGTCTATATGTGTTTTGCAGCCAGATCTCACACAATGGAAGAGCGTTCCAATCTTGTGAATATGATGAAATTGAGTATTAAAATCTTAATCCAGTCAGCTTTGAGTTTGGGAAGGACTCTTGATTCTGACTTCCCTCCGCTGCAGCAGTTCTTTATTGTTTTGGAACATTGTCTCAAGCATGGACTTAAAGGTGAGTTTGCTTCAAATCTGATTTTATGTTTGTATGGTTGTAAGCATAATATTTTTCTTATTGGTTAAGAATATTTGAAGGACACTAGGCTTTTTTTATTATTTAACTGTCCCCATTCAACCGAAATACCCACCAGATATTTGCAGAACTTACTTTGACCGGTGTAGTTAATTCCTGTAATTGAACCATGAGAAAATGCATAGAAGCAATGGGGAAAAATATTTAAACCTGACTGCATAGTTTGACATATTTGCCTACTTCTGTGCATTAGGGAAACAAAATCTATATTAAGGCATATATGAAAATAGGCCTTCCAAGTATGTTACTTGTATATTAAGTTCCTTTAATATATAGGAAACTCAGAATATATCATCACCTTTTTTTAGTGTTTATCTAAAAATACAGTCTAATTAGGTTGCATCTTAGATATCTGCATTATATGAACTGAAGTAGAATAATATGTTTTTCCTTCCATTCTACCTTTATTTAGCTAAGAAGAGTTTTATTGGCCAGAACAAATCATTTTTTGGGCCTTTAGAATTAGTGGAGAAACTTTGTCCAGAGGCATCAGATTTAGCAACAAGTGTCAGAAATCTGCCAGAATTAAAGTGAGTAGACACAGATATTATAGTTCTTTGATTTGGATTGTTTAAAAGAATGCATACTTTTTATCTTTTTAATACTGCTAGTAGTAGTAATCAGATGGTGTTTGCTGATCATCAGTTAAAAACAGGTTTTTTTTTTCACTAGAATTGTAATTTAGAATATTTTTATTTAGAGTAAAACTACTAACCTGTATTTTTATTTATTGTCTTTCAAAATCATCTATGTAAAGTATTAATACCAATGATAGAGTGGCATAATTATTCAACCTAAAGAAAAAGCATTAAGTAAAATGGACACACTTTAAATATTTTAAGTTCTTCTGACAAATTATTCTGTGGGAAATGGTTGATATTTTTAGCAATTATTCATGTTTAACCTGGCAATATTTTGTTTCTCATTCCTTTTCTATGCTGAGCAATTTGACATTTAATCATTTTCCTGTCGGGTTGTAGGACTCCAATAGGAAGAGGCAGAGCTTGGCTTTATCTTGCCGTGATGCAAAAGAAACTGGCAGACTACTTGAAAGTACTCTTGGATCACAAGTGTCTCTTGAGGTATTTTGGATTTTTCTTCAAGAAGAACACTTATTACTGTGCAGAAAGAGAAGGAGTTAAATTAGATCTAGAAGTTACTTTGGATCAGTCCTGCCAAGTGAAAAATAGGAATGGGCTATTCCCTCTCCCTGTCACTCTTCTGCAGACAGAAAAGTGTTGTTGCAACTAAAACTCCTGACAAAAGGAGAAACTCTTCCATTTGAGCTAAATCCAGCCCAATGTTTATATTCAGAATATTAATTGGATAAGAGATAATTTAGTTTAGGAAAAAACCTTTTGAATTATCCTCAAGTGAATCTTCCACTGTGATGACCAGTAAAATGTTCCTTTCTAAATCATTATATTTTCCTTTCCTAGTGAATATTACGAGCCTGATGCCTTGATGATGGAAGAGGAAGGAGCTGTGATTGTGGGCCTTTTAGTGGGACTAAATGTCATTGATGCAAATCTCTGTTTAAAAGGAGAAGACTTGGATTCCCAGGTGAAAATGGTCTCCTTTAAACTAAATCCCAAGTGGCAATTGTTTCTGAAAATGTAATAATTGCATTTACAACTGCCTTATTTACAGAAGTTCTGTGCCAGCATAAAACCATGAATAATAAATAGAAATAATTTGAACCTGTGCAAACTGGATGACCACATTTTGGATCTTGTGCTCATCCTCTTCCTCCTGCAGAGTTCATTTATGCAATTTATTGACTCTTTTTCTTGCTTGGCTGTACTGAGTGTCATTGGTCATGTCATGGTTTTCTTTCTTTGGAGAATTTTTGCTTAGCTGGTGTGCTGTATGCTTGTTACCAGCCTCTCTGTTTGCATGGCTCTTTGCACTGAACACTAGTGCTGCCCAAAGTACTATATCAAGAAAACAAGCATTTGAGTTCATCTTGGGACAGTGACAATCAATGGACTATGTTAATGGGCTGAATCCCCTTGCATTTAATTCCCTTGTATGTGAAAAGGGTAAGAAAAGTACATCGTAGTGAATTGTATTAGACACAATATTTAATGAAATTTATATTTCCTGTCAGGTAGCTGTGATTGATTTTTCTCTGTACCTTAAGGATACACAGTGCATTGATAACGACAAAGGGTATGTATAAGTTAAGCTTCTGCTTTTCAAAATTGTGTAGCAGAAAACTATATCAGAGATGAGCTAAGTCTAAAATTTCCTAATTACCTTCCTTAGAAAGTGAAAAATTGAATAGAAATAGGCAAATTAAAAAGGAGAAAACTATAAAACGCTGTAAATTAGGCATTAATTAATGCCTTAGGCATGAAAATCAGTTGGGCATCTTTGAGCCAGTCACTCGCTCTCAGCCCAACTCACTATTATTGTTGTGAAGAAAATAAGTGGAGGAATGACAAATATGTTCAGTGCCTTGAGTTGTTTATCAAAATAATAAAGGAGGGATAAAAATAAATTGTTATACCTACTGATTATAGTGTTCAGGATTTGTACTTGTAGTATGTGAAATGAATCTTACTATACAACAACTGTTCTAATTATAAAATAGCACTTGAAAGAGTTGACTGTTTTGAAAAGACAATGATCTTTCTTTTAATGTTAGAGATGAAGGAATTACTGCTGTTCTTGACCAGAAACATTATGTAGAAGAACTTAATCGACATTTAAGGTATAGTTTGTTGATTAATCCTTTATTCTCCCCCACCCTCTTATGAAGACCACAAGTCTTACGTAAAGGATGTTGTACCCACTTAGAAAAGCTTGCTGTTTCCCTTACTATTCTGAGTTTTAGTATCTGTACACAGTATGTCCTTCTCCACCTTACCTCTAGTTGAAACCCCAAGTTTTGTCTTGGATTAGACCATTTTATTAGTTTGGGGACCACAATTGTTTTGAGAAATGTATTTTTCTTCTTGGGATGAAATGGTAAGAATTATTATACAGCTACTGAGTCTCTTTCATTATAGTTGCACTGTTGGAGATCTTCAGAGCAAGATAGAGTGTTTAGAGAAAACAAATTCCAAGCTCCAGGAAGAGGTTTGTGGTCACTGTGACATATTTTCAATTACTTTTTAAATTAAATAGGTCAGACATGTATCTGAAAAAACCTAGAGAATAAAGACAGGGTAGGAATAAAGAAAATAACATGGCAACTTGTACATTGATTGTAACTTTTAGGTACAGGAACAGTGGGAAGCTACTTTTATACCAAGCTATAGGTCCATCAGGATTTTTAGAAAACAAATACTTTGTATGTAAAAAGTTCAGATCATCGAGCTACAAATCTTATTGATTATTAAGAGCAGAGTAAATTCATGCCATCATCTGAAAGGAATAGTGCATTAATGAAAAAGCATAATAGTAATTAGTTCCTATTTTGGAAAAGGAACATAATTACTCAGTTAAATCTTAGAACTTCATTTGAGGCACTACTGAGTAGCAGATTTTTATGAACAGCAGGATAATATATGAATGTTTCATTTGGGGAAAGGAACTCTTCTAATTTTTTAATCCCTCTTCCTCTACCATCTTTTGGGCAGCTATCGGCAGCAACAGATCGAATCAAAGCTCTTCAGGAAGAACAACAGGACTTGAAACAGGAAAATGAATTAATTCGTGAACGCAGTGAAAAGTATGCTGAGGTCAGATAATGAAAATCTCCTAAGACTACACAGGAGCCTTAATTGTTTTCTTATTTATTTTTATTGTTATCTGGGGTTTTTTTTCCCTAACACAAAAATGCACAGTACATACATATATAAAATCTCTTAGGGAACAAAAAGATACTCCTATATATGTGACCTGCAACAAGATTATCATTTTGATAAAGTAGTAGTAGGTTAGACACAAATTTGTGCTCAATTATTCCTTTGATAAGAAGAGAAATATAATGACAATGATGCTTTAAATTTATATGCTCTGCACATCTGACTGAAAATGGACTTTCTCTGATTTTCCCTTCCATTAAACAGCCCCATTGGAAAGTCTCATGTTATTTGAGCAATTAGAGAACCAAGTGCCAGAGAGGAGTGGAAGAAGTGAAGATAATTATTGAGCTATTTCCAGCAGGATAGCTTCCTGTTTCCTTCTGCAAATTAAATAAGACTTTGTTCAGTGAAGGACAAGCCAGTATCCAATAGTAGCATGCTTAAAATGTTGGACTAGGTCTGGAGACTAAAAATCACCTCTAGCCATGTTATCTCTTTGGGACACACTCTTTCAGCCCAACCTATTTCATAGATTAGTTATTATGGGGACAAAGTAAAGAGCGTTCTCCATGTAAATTGCCTTAAGATCTTGAAAGAAAGGCAAGAACAAATAAATGTATCTCATTAAAGCTAATACCATTAAGTATACATTGAAATACTATCCATGTTTTAGTTCCCAGCTACTTTCCTCAATCATAGTTCTTCTGTACATACTGAGATGCATAACAGCTCCTATAAGAACGGGCTTCCCAGTTCACTCTTACAGAAATCAACTTTCTTTGACATTTTTCCAGCAAAATGAATGGATGAAAATCAGTATTTTGCTTTGTTTCCCCACCTAACTTCAACAGTTTTATAAATTAACCTAAATCAGTGTCTTTAAGTCTTTAGCATTTTGTTGCTCCTATCTTTTCACAGATATAAGATAACTTGTTGATTGCAGTATCCATTGATAATCTTACCTCTGATTCCTCTAATAAAAACATTGAGTTTTCAATCTATTAGCCGGTTATTCACCCACTTTTTAATCTAGGTAACTAAACTGGACACCAAAGTGGAACTGGAAACCTATAAACAATCACGACAAGGTCTAGATGAAATGTACAGTGATGTCTGGAAGCAATTAAAAGAGGAGAAAAGAATTCGAAAGGTGAGAGCTCATAATTTAACAAGTGGCGGTGGAAATGTTAAATAGTCCCTAAACTTCCCCTTTAAATTTATTCATATAAAATAATTATATGTTCATATAAAATGATCATTTATAAATATTGATTGATGTAATGATGCAAAAAGCGGATTTGTATAAACATGGCTTTTTTATTAGGACTGAATGTAAGAGTAGATTTTCCATTTGGTTGCAGGAATATACTAGTAAAGATTCAAAAATTCCAAAGCTAGGCAGAGGTCATTATTTTTGCTTTTGTCTGCAATATTTGTTGTTGTTTCAACACAAAGAGTCCATAACCAATTCTGCTGGGCAGTACTAAAAAGAATTGGAAAATATGAAAAGTACAAATATGAATATAAATCTCTTTGGATCCTAGCCAAAACAATTTGGGGGGAAATATACTATGTAACTAGTAAATATAAAAGATCCTTTTATTCATTTAGTGTAACACGTCCTTCCCCAATTGCCTTGAACTATAGAAGGTAGGTAGCCCAATTCAGCAGTCCAGAAGGGCATAAAATTGAGAATGCTGCTCTAAATAATATATTGAGCTTTCATGATGTACATGAAGTGTTTTATGTATGCAGCGTGTATTATAATTTTAAGGAGTTGGAAAAAGAATTGGAGCTTCAGACTGCAATGAAAACAGAGATGGAAATTGCCATGAAACTTCTAGAGAAAGATACACATGAAAAACAAGATACCTTGGTTGCACTTCGCCAGCAGTTGGAGGAAGTTAAGGCTATCAATTTGCAGATGTTCAATAAATCTCAGGTATTCAAGAGTCTCTTTGCTATGGCCACAAATAGTCCTAAAATTCAGGAATTAAAGCATCTGGTTTGTTTGATCAAGTTTGATGCAATGATCACTCTTATTTATGAAGCTGAAAATGTGCATATTCTTTTATGCCTCATCTCATCTTCACTTCCATTGCTGATTTTAACTTAGAGATCCTGATTGTTATATTCCAAATAGGGAACTCTGGCTTAAGATCAATTTACTAATAAATATGTTCAGTTAGGATAACTCTGGATTTTGTGCCATAATTCATTTTCATGGAAATACCAATTCTGACTTGGATAATATATGGTCATGTGAGAGGTAAGAAAGCATTCAAGCCAAGAATTCATTTCTAGTTTCATAAACTAATTATTATGAAACCAGGATCATTGTATCATTGTAACCTGGTCTTCAATTTCACCTCTGTGATGTCTTCTATTGGCAAATAAGGGGGTTCTTCACACATAGCTGAAAAGCAAATAATTGTTCACTTCCCCAGTTTTAGTTGTGATATCCTTACGACAGAAGCACAGGGAGCGAATGTGTGTTTTCCTAATTTGGTTAGTTTTCTGACTGGAAAAGATGAAAATTTCAAGAATTAGATGCTTATTCTTGATCCGGAGAATGATTTAGAAGTTTAATGTGGGGATCCCCTATTATTCAACATCCATCACTCATCTAGCTAAGACATTACTAGAAGCTTTTATGCAGTATTTTCTTTTCAGGCACTGTTTTAAATAGAATACTTGAAAAGGCAGCAGATGGCCAAAGGCTCTGGAGTAAGGTAGCCAGACAAGCATGCAATCCCAAAGCTCCTAGCAATCGCAAACACGTGATGATGTGGCTTTCTGCTATTTGCCAGCAAGAAGCACAAAATTCTACTGTAGGTCTTAAAAAGCTAAATGGAGAGTTTTGTTTTTTTTTAAAAAAAGTTTTTTAAACTTCCCCTCAAGGGAACTGAGAAAAAAATATTGACTCCACTCATATTTGTCAGGTAGCCCTGATATAAATTAAAATTCCACCCACTTCAGACCTTCTGCTAAACAAACAATTCAGCCACCAATTAAGCACTCATTTCTGCACTACAAAGATAAAATTATTTTTTATTGCTACAATCTGGGAGTAAATTTAGGTGTATTGGATTGTTTCCGAGGTGGTTTTTTTTCTTTTGAAATACTGCAGCTAAGGCAGTTTCTTGGTTTTTGCCATCAGGTTTATTAACTCTGCTATATTAGAATTAAGAGAACCTTTGAAGAGACAGGAATATGAAAAGAGATGTGAAAAATGATTTTTCTGAACTGTTACAGCCCTCCAAGTCATAAGAAGTGATTAATTTAAAGTGACCTGATTGAATTTGTTTTTGCTCCAGACTGCAGAGAGTTCTTTACAACAGAAAAAAGAAGCAATATCATCCTTTGAAGGCAAAACAGATCAAATTATGTCTTCTGTGAAACAATTGGAGGACAGGTGATTTCTTCCACATATTTGGTCAAGGTGTGGTTTTAGCAATTTTGCAGTGTTCTACATATCAGAATTCGGACAGGTTGCTTCTAGTGAAGCATGAATGCCAGTTTTTCACAGTGCCCCTTGACACTGCCCATTTTTTCGGCAAAATCTTGGAGAGCCTTGTAAGGCATATTCTGACCAGAGGAAAACCTGGGAAGGGATTATCAGGCCTATTGCCCTACTTGCTTCCTGTCAAATGGAATGAGTAATGGAGAAGGCTTTTAGGGAGATTAGTCGCTATATTGTAATGATACAGAATTTTATAGATCAGAATGTACAAACGAAGCTGGAGAGGCCGAAATCTTAGTTTGGTATGATGAAAATCAATATATGGAAGAGAAGGGGAAAGGGGTCATAGGAGAATGAATCAGTGATAGCACTGGGACAAGAAACTTGAGACGGGGGGCCTGAATCAGATCCAGTTTTATAAACATTTATTCAGTTTTATATCTGTTTTCAACCAAGGCGTTTATATAGAACTGGAGATGGGTTACTGTAATTATAAGATTTTATGATGGGACCTGTTGTGGTGAGTTCTTTTCTTCTGCACTCCCTAGCAGTTTCTTTAAGCTGCTGCTAGCCTATTTAGAAGCTGCTGGCAGAGCTCCTCAGATTTTTAGTATGGTAGAAGACAAAGGTTCACCTCAAATAAATATATTATCAGAGACATACGTCAATTTGTTTTGGTTTATTTCTGGGCAACTTCTTCCTATCCAGAATTACACTTTTCCATGATGCAGGAGGCATGAAATGGCCTTTCCATTGAATGTAGTATTTAGTCCCTGATGTTTTAAACTTGTCATTTTGATGTGATACAAAAAATAACATTCACAACCAGGGTGATATATCTCTTTTTCATACTTTAGACTGCAGAATGCAGACAAAGCCAAGAAGCTTGCAGAAGAGAAAAATGTCAAATTGAAACAAGAATTGGGGGGCAAAATTGAAACTCTGAAGCAGCAATTACTCCAACTGGATAGCAACTGGTACTATTATTTTATATAACCTTAGTTTAACGTTCTTATGTTCGTATTCTTTTGAATAGAAGAATCACATTCTGTTTACAATTGATGGTTCACAAAATCAGTTAGCTGCCAAGACAGCAGAAATGTTCTTCCACCCATAGAGATAAGTACTCCTGGTAAGAAGGAATCTCTGCTCTAGCAATGCCCACCTAATAGAGGCTTATGCATGTGCTACCATAAGGCAGCTCCAAAAGGAGGTGCTTAAGAGTTGGGGAAGACTTCACTTCCTTAAATTGTATTCCCCAAGGATTAGATACTTACGTACTTAAACTGGAACCAGTACAATTAATACTTTTGTCACTGAAACCACAAGTAGTCTTCAACTTATACAATTGGGACCAGAAACTGAGTCACTAAGGAGCAGTCATTAAATGAGACACCCACGTTTGCTTCACTCAGTGACTGTAATCCCAGCAGTCCAGATTGCGGTCATTAAGCAGTCTCCCAGGTTAAGCAGACAAAGCAAGTTTGCCTGTCTGTCAAGTTTGGGTCCCTTCCAAATGCAAAAGTGAAATCCTCTGATGGCAGGACCAAGCTCAGATCTTAAAGGTCTGAGCTCAGTTCCTGTTCCTCCCCTCCTTGTGCAGAGTGGAACTCCTCCAAAGAGCTGCAGGAATGGAGCTCAGATCTTAGGGATCTGCTCTCCGTTTGTGCAGCCCACCAGAGTTCCCTCCTCTCAGCAAGCAGCCCTTTCACTCTCAAAGGGCTCCTTACGGGGCAAAGCTAAGATTTTCTCCACACTGATGTTCCCTCCTGGCAGCTCTTTCACTCTTAAAAAGCTACTTACTAGGAGGGAATCTCAGTTATGCAGCAGGCATGCAGCAGCTTACAGGCTTCCCTGCTGTCTTCCCTATTACCTTTCAGGGGAAGCCAGCAGAGAAGATTGCAAATGGCAATCAGATGATTGTGGAGTGCATGACAACTGACATTCAGCTCACAATCATGTAACCTCAGAGCGGTGGTACAATGTTTTTTGACAGAAGTACTTTTCAGGCACCTGTTCCCTGGCTGTCGTAATTTCAAACTCTCATTAAACAAATTGTCATAAGTTAAAGGCAACCTGTAATAGGGCAACAGGTTTTGGGAAGAGCAAATCATCACCCCAACATTTTTCCTCTTTCCTTCACTTAGCAATCCTTTTGTTTAATAGTGTGGTTCTTGTTACATTGCCAAGTCTCTGTTGAGAGTTATGAGCAATGATTTTTTGGGAAATATAATTTCTAGAATCTTATCGCTATGTTTGAACCTAAGAAATTTAGTTTCATACATCTATTTGAAGATTTAAAGTTAAGCAAAGGATAAAATTTTAAAAATGTTAATTGGGGGGGGCGGGCCGCGGGAAGATAGTCAGTCTCAAAAGTAATTTTCAGAGGATTTTTCAGACTAGGTGAAACTTGTAAATCAATTCTGGTTCCTGATTCCACACCATGTATTCAAGAAGAAGAGATTTTGGATTTTGATTCAAAGTTGCATGATAAATGAAAATTCTAGAAGCAATTTTAAAAAGGATTTTGAGGATATGCGTTTGAACCAAAATGAAAGTCAGAATCTCTCTGGACAAGCTCTTGAACATGCTTGTAGCTATCTGGAGCCTACTGGCTATTTTCACAGAACAGCCCCTCCCCCCCCCCAAAAAAGGTCCTTTTTTTACCTCAGGAAAAGTAGAAACTCTTGTGATTTTTCAAAATTATTCCATAGTGCTAATAAGGTAAATTATTTTGGAAAATAAGTTTTGTTTCCAACTTCGTTGTGCTTCTTTATTTTAATTTGCACAGTTCAGTTATTGAGAGAGAGTTAAAAACTGAGAAAGAACAGCGACAGAGTCTGCAGAGAGAGTTACACCATGAGAAAGACACTACAGCTTTGCTGAAAGCTGAACTGCAGCAAGTAGAAGGTTTGAAAAAAGTAAGGCTCCTCATGATTTAGTTTCTTTCAAGAGAGAGAGGGTCGGTTAGGCTTATGGTTTCATAGTAGCTGGATTACTTTCCACTGGGAAATGATGGTCTTTTGTTTGCTTACTCCCTAAGGGAATCACTGCCTCACCCTTCTAGCCCACGCAGAGTAAAGGGATGTGCAATAAAAAAGAGAACAGGAGAGATTTAAAAAGGATGGGAGAACTGGAATGGGAAATCAGTGTTTTGGAGATGGTGTGCATTGTTAAGCCAGCAAGATATTTCCTGAAGAGAAAAAATGTTCTCCTCTGCAGTGAAAAAAGCGGTGGGGGGGGGGATTTTTCTAAGAAAGGTATGGCAGGATTATGTTGAAGGTCAATAGAGTACACCATCCCATTCCTTTCATTCCATCCTCTTATTTTTAATGTTTTATAGCACATTTGCTAATTACAATGTAATTTGGGGAAGGACCAATCACTCTAAGCCAGTGTTTCTGAACCTCAACTTTAAGATGTGCAGACATCTGCTCCCAGAATTCCCCACTCAACACATTTATTGGGAAATTCTAAAAGCTGAAGTATTAAAAAAGTTGCCAAGTTTAAAAAAATACTGCCCTAGATAATAGCTTCATGTTTTAAAAAGGTGTATTGCATTTGTGATATTTTGTGGCTAGTACAATAGACCTTTCTAATTACAGGTTCTCTGGCCTATTGGAGTTTTCATAATGATAGAGACCATGTAGTCTTTCATTAATGCTACAGGAGCATAGAATAGGCTTTCCAGTAAAATATATCCATTCATAGGTGAGAGAGAATATATTATCTTTCTTTTTAACTTCAGTAGATTTTATAAAAGACTTTATAAATAGGAAATGTGGGGAAACTAGTTAATAGAATTGTAGTGTAGTCCATTTCATTTGTCTCTGTGTGTATGTGTGCGTGATTAGGAATTGCGAAAACTGCAGGAAGAGAAGCAGCAGCTAGAAAAGATCTGTGAAGAACAAGAACAAGCCCTTCAAGAAATGGGGCTTCATCTAAGCCAGTAAGTATATTTCAATAATTTGTGTCATTATTTGTACCACATCTTGCAACAGTTATTAGGTACAACAAAGTATTCACAAAATAAAAAGTAAATAATTAAAACCACATAAACAGTTCTAGCATATTGCTTTAAATACTCCAAAGCCTTTTCATAATTTCTGGAAGATTTTTTCCAATGGAACCATCTCCAAAGAAAGGCCAGAGAGAAAAAGAGCCATAGCACTCCCTCCTTCCTTCTGAGTAATAGATTGTTACCAGAGACCCACCTCAGGCAGGGTGAATCTTACTTGCTGCAAGGGTACCGTTTCAAGCAGTAGCTTGAGACTAAAGGTCACCAGTAATCTGACAACCCTAGAACCACCAGGAGAGAAGATGAAACTTCTCTAGTTGTTGATCCTTTGTAAGAAATCAGTAAATTTTATGAGTGAAGCTCTGGCTGTAATTGAAGTATGAAATGGCCTAAATGTTGATTTGAAGTTAATGTATTATTGATAAAGAAAATGCAGCTGCGATTGGAGATTGGAATTTTTCCTGGTAGATACTTTATTGTGTCAAAAAAAGTTAGTGTAATATAATAAAGGAAGGATCTGACTTGTGAACTTATTTGAATTTTACCTATGGTGTAGCAGTGATGTTTCTTTAAGCGGTTCCACCACAAAACCGCGGTCGACTAAAGTGCGCTCGATGAAACCGCGTACCTGACATCACAGCGCGACGAAAAAAGCACGCTGTGAGCGGTAAAACTAAAATTAACACGTAAACCTAAACCTAACCCCCCGAAACCTAACCCTTAACCTAACGCTAAACCTAACGCTAACCCTTAACCTAACCCTAACGCTTAACCTAACCCTAAACCTAACCCTAACCCTTAACCTAAACCTAAACCTAACCCTTACCTTAACGTGAATCGGCTTGCTTTAAAAGCGCTTTTTAAAGCACCCTTTTTTCTCTGCGGTCGTATTTGTCGCGCTGCTGATGACGTCAGGTACGCGCTTTAATCGGGCGCGCTTTAGTGGACCGCGGTTTTGTCGTGCCATGCTTTAAGCGAGTCAATATTTTAATGAGAAGAATGGTTGTAGTGGTTAATATCAGGCAACTAAAAATATTACTAGATTTATTTATTTTTTCCAGATCAAAACTTAAGATGGAAGATATTAAAGAAGTAAATAAAGCATTAAAGGTATTGTCGATTCAGTAATATGTTTAGGTTCGTTTAAGAAATGGTAACTCGTTTTATTAACATCTTTCCCTTTATCAGCATGTCATAGGGAATGTCCTGGACAAAATAGTACAACTAGAAAAGTATTGCCATAGCATCTTAGTATCTTCTGTTCTTTAAATATTTATTTACGGGTCGGTCAACCAATTTCTGGCATGTAGTTGTCAGTATATTCTTTCTCAATGTGCAACACTATCCTGTGCATGTTTATTTTGAAGCAAAACTGTCCAACATTAAATTAGGGTTGGTCTAACGTATAGGTAAGGGTTGACGTAAGTCTATTTGGGGAGCTAGATATATAATTAATTTACAGAAACTTTCAAAAATTTGCCTAGATCTTTTTATTTTGTTATAAGCCTATATAAATTCAATTAAGCTAATATTATTTTTAAATGTTAGGGCCATGCATGGCTAAAAGATGACGAAGCAACCAGCTGTAAGCAGTGTGAGAAAGAGTTCTCCATTTCAAGAAGAAAGGTAAAATACCAGGCTCCATTATTATTATATTTACCTTGGCAGGAGTTATTTTTTGTCAGTGCTTTTTTCCACTGATAAAATAGAATAAGAGTCCTAAAGATATTTTCCAGCAGTTTCTTGGATGAGAAGTGAAACGTTTTCAAGGAAAAAACACAAGAAAGCCAGTTGCTTTTTGGAAACCACCTTTGGACCAACCATGACCTGGATGATTGAATTGATAGAATGAGTAAGAGGCGCAAACGGCTGCTTTGTTGCTACTTTCCAGGAGCTGTCTTAATCCTCTTGATGAAACCCAGTTATCTCTTTTGACTCTGGGTCAGTCAAATGATTCTGTGGAGTCAAATGGCCTAGAGTCTGTGGGATTGGATGGAGAGGACATCTCCAACTCATTCCTACCAAGACCAAGTGGTGGTGGGTGTTTGATATTCTTGTTCGGTCAAACGTTGGCCTTGAATGCAGTTATACTTCCCCAATCAAGGGTGGTGTATAATCTAGGAGTCTTCTTGGACTCCTTGCTTGAACAGGTGGCAGTAATGACAAGGAAGGCTTTTGCCCAGCTTCATTTGGGGCACCAGTTAAATCCTTTCCTAGATTTGGGAAAGGGAAGCACTCAGTCATTCCTTGCTCACTTCACAGCTTGAATACTGCAATGTGCTTTTCATAAGGCTCTTCTCCTGGAAATTTGCTGGTCTAGGATACAGTAGTGCAGGCGTTGATGGGCAGACTTCGAGATGCCCATGTAACTGCTTTGTGAACTACACTGGTTGTCAGTTTGGTCCTGGGTGAGAATTAGTGTCGGTTGTTATTTAGGGCCTTAAGGAATCTCCTGTCTTCCATAGTATCTACCCAGACAATTCAATTCAGCAAGGTGGTTTCATTCTGGGTTCCAGGACCCTACAAACATACTTTCTCTATAGCAGCACCTGCCCTCTGGAATAACAGCCTCCTAAAATTTTGAAGAGTCCCCACTTTGAAATTTTAAAGGGACTTAAAACATGACTCTTTATCAAGGTCTTTAGCAAGTATACCTCACATTCCTTCTTTGTTCCTGAAACCTGTCCCTTTGACTTCAGTTCAATCCAAGTTTCTTCTTTCACAGACCGCAGAAATTGGCAGCACACTTCTTGTGTGCGCGTCAGAACCCAGTACTATATCTCCCAGAATTCTCCACTTTTAAGGCTTCAGAGAAACAGGTTCAAAAAGGGCAGTGAGGATTATCAGAGGGCTAAAAACAAAGTCCCTTGAAGGCAAATACGTGTATTTGATGAAATTTTAAGGATGGCCAATTCTACATCTATTGGTGGCATGAGTCTGGCGGTGGTGGTACTTGCCATGCACGAGGGAATCTAAGCCCTCAGCAGCAGTCCTGAGGGATCAGAACAAGCCACTGACTCACTCCGAGTGCCTGCTGCCTAAAACTCCTAGTGCTGAAAATGAAATAGGGAAATCTTTTTCTTCCTGCTGTTTGACTGGAGAAGACATGGTGAAAACTGTAAAAAAAACTCAGTCTCTGGGCAGATGGATAGAAGTTAATCCATGCTTGGATTCGCCAAGCAGCGCACAGAATATTCTAATTTATGTGGGGGCATTCTGGAGGTATTCCATTTCCAGTTTGTTTCCAGAATATTTTATTTGGAGGCCTACACTGAACAGGGAATGACCAAAGCAGCACTTGAAAATTTTCTAGTTCCACTGTTTTTATGGGATTCCCATGCAACTTTTTCAGAGCTGGAGTTATTTTAAAAATCATTTTGATTTATGTTTATATATTTTAAGATACTATTTGTAATATTATTTTCTGTATTTGCAGCACCATTGTCGAAACTGCGGCCATATCTTTTGTAACACCTGTTCAAGCAATGAACTTGCACTTCCATCATATCCAAAGCCTGTACGAGTTTGTGATACCTGCCATACGTTACTGCTTCAGAGGTGTTCATCAAATTCTTCTTAAAATCTATATTCCAGAATGTTAAGACCAGGGAATGAACCGAACATGAAATATTTTTTAATATTCTAAACTCCATTAACATATATGGCACCGTGTATTATATTCAAACAAGAAAAGATTTTATTTATAAAAATGGGATACCAAAATCATGGAAACTATTTTTTATAGATTAAGTGCCAGCAAAATGTCATATTCAAAAATACACTATTTCAGATGCACACACTTGTTATTTTTAAGCTAAAAAATCTATTGTTTGAATGTTAACTTTATACTTCACATTTAGAGATTTGCTCTAAAACAAATTAATTTTCTGAACACTTCATGGATCTATCTTCTGTAACAGTTCACTAAAATTTCTGCTGATCTGTATATAATAAATGAAAATGTTATCTTAAAAGTTAAATCTATGGAAGCATTTTTAAAGAATGTATGCTTGGATGTGCCTTTAAATTTTTCAAAAGTGAACAGAATAACATACTGTAAGTTATGTGATTACGCAATAAAGTTGATCCATACTTGGTACATGTTCCTTAATGTATTCATCACTAAATTTCCTTTTTTGTTGTTAAATTATCAAAGTACTGCACTTTTAAGGTGTTATCTGTGATGGACTTCAAAAGGTATACTACAGAAATTAATGGATCTATCCTTCCAGGGTTTCCATAGAAATACAGTTTTTAATTATCAAAATTGGGACGGAATTATCTGTTTGTAAACGAGTTGCACTTGATTGCCAGTCAGTAAGTTAATCACTGGCCAACTGAATCATTTGGTTGTTAAGCTATTTTAGCTTCCTCCATTGATATTGTTTGTCTGGGAAGGTTGCAAATTGTGATAATGTGACACACCCCCATCCACCCCCGATGCTGCAACCATTGTAAATGTATGTCTATCAAGCACCCGAATTTTGATCGTGACTGCAGAGATGCTGCAACAATCAGTCACTTTTTCAGTACTATTATAACTTTGAATTCATTTTTTTACAATTAGGCAGGAATTACATAGCTTTACCCTGCAAAGTATTAAAAGCTGCACAAACCACATATGGTAAATGTTGTCATGTCTTTTGTAGCTTGGAGACATAGAAAAGACTGACTATGAAATGAACATCCTGAAAAAGCAAGCAGTTGAGTCTTCAATTACTAATTTGCATCTGTTAGACGGAAATCAGTCTTTAAAGGGATAAAGTTAAGCATCATTAAAACATGGTTGCCTGTATGTTGTACTAGTCCAGGGGTGTCAAACCCATGGCCTCACGTCACGTGACATATTGCGACTTTTTGCCCTTCGCTAGACCAGCGTGGCCAGCGCATCTGACCCATGGGCCGTGAATTTGACACCCCTATACTAGTCTAATAGAATATGGATAGCGAGGGTTCAGTGTAAAGAAAATTTTCATTTAAGTTGGAATAATTAAATATTAATAATCACAATGAAGCCATCAGCTAAGTGACTATGTCAACCTGAATCAAGTTGGAAAAAACAGGAAATGCATTTTGCTTGAAATGAAATAAAACAATGAGAATAAAAAAATAGAGGCATGTTTGAAATTCAGTAAGGCAAAAAGATAAATTTAAATGGTTGAAGCAATAACATGGTTCAGAGGAAAGGTTGGACAAGGAAGAAACAGAATTAAAAAATGATGGTATAGAAAGAACCACAACGTGAACAGGAAATGTAAAATAAATTTCATTACTAAGAGACAAACTGGAATTCCTTCCTCAGATACAGTATACATGTAACATATTGGAGATAAAGTATCAGTGACTAATGGCCTTCAAGCAATTACAAGGCTTTTTCAGGCACACCCAGTTCAGGCTTTGGTATTTCGTTCAGCAGTCAAACAAATCTGATTTAGATGACCTCTGTTGAATATGCTTCAGATGCAATGAGTAAGTCTAAACTCTAGCATGTGTTAAAACCCAATGCCCAAATAATAGTATTCCTTAGCTCAATCGTGCATGTTACTTAACAAAGGTTCTCAATGCACCCACCCACAACTCTTTTGTAAACCATTGAATATTACAACTACCATTTGTATATTGCTGAAATTAATAAAACTAGAAAAATCCCGTTCAGATTTATCAGACATTGTTTTAACAGATAGCCATTCCTTTTCCCATACCCCAACATTTAATACACTGTACTGATAGCCCTTGCTTACTTAACATAATTGGGACCAGGAACTCTTGACATCAAATGAATGCAATTGTAAAGTACGCTATCACATAACCATGCCAATTTATGTTTATTCTAGGAGCTCCAGATGCCATTAGGCTAACCCCAAAGTCCCAGCTTTCCAAGGTCATTTGATCCCCACTGACATTGCTTGTCAGAAACAGCAATGAATGAAGATCACAATAGTGATCACATGACTGTACCTATATAATGGCCATAAGTACAAGGACCTGTCTTAAATGTTCATCATTCAGCACCACCAGAACTCTGAACAGCTGGTGAATGAGCAAATGTTAAATGAGTACCCGTACATGTATTTCACAACCTGTGGGGACACCTTATGAAATATTTATGAAGCCTTATGAAATATTTATATTTCAAAATATGTTAAAAGTTCTGTAGACTATTTTTTTAACAGTTTGCATCAAGTGGAATGATCTATGCACTAACGTTTTATACATCTCTTACTTTAAAACAGCACAGTATTCATGTATTTTGGTACTCTTAAATGTCCATCTAAAAAATACTATGTGGGCAAAAATATTTTACAAATTATAATCACTATCTGCTTTCCTTAAGCTATTCAAAACTATTTCATAAACACAGAATATTTCCTATTGATAATCAGTATACAATTATTGTTCTAGTAATATTTACTTTTCTATGCAATTTCATTTTAACTGCCATTTATGACTAACTTGGCTATAATAATTTCTAATGTGCAAGAATTGTTGCCAGGAAATATAATGCTCATTTAAATCAAGAGATGTTCCCAGTTTTTAAAAGGAAGTTTTATTTGAACAAGTTTCACTTAGCGCAATACACCTAAAAATAAATCACAACACAATAAAAGATTAAACCAAGGTCTCAGATGTCATCTGAACACTAAGACCAAAATCCTAAAGGTAAGCTGTATTGCACCTCACATTTCCCTATTAACTTAAAAAGCGTAAATGTGCCTTACGAGATATTAAAAGAAAAAACTAGAACTAACATGCCAAAGGTTCACTTGAATTTCCAACACAGCTCCTATAACTTGTTTGTACAAAAAGCATGTTCCTGAACATGCACTGAAAAGTGTTTGGTGTTATGTGGTATAAGAGCAACATTTAACATAATTGAAACAGCTTTAACCTAAATACATTTACTGCTCAAATACATTCCTACAACAAAAACTGGAAAAAGCTGAGAGTTGTTTAACAGGAACTTCTTTACTGGACTTACACCCTAGATGAATGTTTCAGCATATTCAAAAATACTGAACCTGAATGTTTTAAAATGATCCTGATTTCACTTACAAGTAAAGCATAATCACAAGCTTGTATTGCAAAACTGTTAAACTTAGTTTTTTGTTTTCTTAAAAAAGTTGACAAAAAAAAAATCAGGTGACAAGTTACATTCCCCAGCCACCACTCATGTTGGACATGTTAGACATTCCAGCCATGCCATTCACCCCCATGGATGCACGATTACCACTGCTGTAGTAGCTGCTGTTCATTGCACTCTGGTTACCTAGAGCAGATAACATATTATACAATTTAGTACAAAAGTGCAGTGCTATTTCCAAGGCAACATATTCCTCCCAAGTTTCCCCTTATATCGCCTTGCATAATCCTGTACTAATAAAAAGGCAAACTTCCTTCTATGTCATTGTATGTTTTAAGATGTCTATAAAGCCAACTGCAAATCAGTTTCCCAGATTTTTGCAAAGCACAGAATAGAATCAAATCCTGGAATAGTTTCATGCCCTCCCTCTACTGCACAAAATAATACACATGACCACATTACATACCATGAGATGCCAGAACTAGTTTCGTGTGGATTGGATCCAAATCTTGATCACTCGGCATTTGCCAAACTATTTTCAGATTTAAAAAAAAATCTATGCTCAATCAGTGGCTCTCCATTGATCTTGCTCCTCTAGATTTTGATGTTTTAAAGCTAAAACCAAATACTCGGACAAACTCAAAATATCTGCACTTGTTTGCTGAAGCATGATGACCCTCATATAAATGGCTAAATAATTCAAATACAATTTTAAATAGCCTTCTAAATATTAATAAAAACATCTTACCATATCCACTCATGCTGCTTTGACCACCGTAGCCTCCTCCATAACCCCCACTTAACTGCTGGTTAGCTGGACCACCATAACTGGATTGGCTTCCTTTAAAGTTAAGAATATGAATGTTAATTACTATCGTTATATTTTATAAAGAGCATGAATTATAGTCCATCTAAACAAGATGTCATTCATTTGCCCAGAGGTTTACGTGACAGACAAATCTATCTTCTTGTACCAATTCTTTGTAAGTTGCCCAGAGCCACTGAGAGCGTTGAGCAGCCATATAAGCTGTGTTAATTAAATAAATAAATACTTTGATTCTCTTCCTTAATTGTCAAGGAAGACCTCTCTAGACCAGCATTCAAATGATTTATTTTTGTGGTTTCTAAATTCAATATTGCCAGTTAGTCAATTTATAAGGAAAGTGATTTTATTGTTCTTTGATGGCATAGGACATTGTTTTTAGAAAATTACCTTCATCTCAAGTGAATTAGCTAAATATTACGTGGTGTCTGGAAATAAATATTAACATGTCCTAGGGCTCTTACATTGCTAAAACACAAATTGTACTATATTTGGCACATGAAATAAGGAAAATAAAAATTATCTACTTATATCACCACTAATTCCTCTACTTCTACTGCTTCTAATACTGTAATCTACATCAAAATAGCAAATACACAAAACTTAGCTGATCATAGTTCTAATTAAAAGCTCACTCGTTTCATTTCTCTGCAAAACAGTTTTTGCAGTTGAAAATGTGGCTTCTAAATTCGGTATTGCCAACTAGTCAATTTGTAAGGAAAGTGATTTTATTGTTCTTTATGAACTTTAGTTTTTTTAAATTTATTTGTCCAAAAAAATCATTCTGCAAAGTCCTATAAAAACAGCACACATACCTTTTACATCAAATGAAATGACTAAGAATTTTTATAAGCAAACTCAGCATGTGAATTGGTTCTATGCAGTATTGAAAAGTACATGCTGAAAATCAAATAGATCTAGGAATTTAATAGCACATTACTAAAATGAAAATCTGCTGTAATAGCTGCCACTTCCACTCTCTATCCTAAATTCATAATTCAAAAAGAAAGTAGCAACATTACTTCTCTTGTGATGAGTGGCAATATGAATTTGATAAATACCAACATTCCCCACTACTATTACCACTCCCCAATCCAGAACCAGTCTTTGCTCCATTCATACATATACAATATTTAATTGTTGGAATGTATATCTAAAAGTTATATACCTGCCAATGTGTTAGTGTTCCAATCTTGAACCACGCCTTCTGTTTCCTTGACTGTAATTAAAACAAAGTTGAATTTCAGTTTCAGGTAATTTAGAACAAATAGGAACTACATAAAATCAGCCAGTTTTGTTGAATAGCAGCAGCACTAATGTGAAACTAAATTGTTTACACCTACCCATTGCTCCCATCATTTGACTTCCATATGCACCACCACTTCCTCCAGCTGTAGAATTCAAAAAGAGTTCTACATATCGGTGTTCTGTAGAAATACAAAGACAACAATGCACTGAGCTCACACAAGACCATCAAATTTTCAATGATACCTAAGTAACTTTAGGTATTTCATTGCAAATATATTGTTCAATATTAAGAAATACAATAATTTATTCCGCTATCTAATTCTGATAGAAATAGTGTAATGCTGTAGATCAGGGGTGTCAAACCCGATCGCATCGCAAGCCATATCATGTGACATAACAATGTATCAGGATGTTTTTTGCATTTGAAGAGCCAGGGTGGATGTGGCCTGTACCGGCCCAATCATGGCCTGCATAGGCTATATATAGCCAGACCGCATGCTGCCAGTTTGACAGGCTGCTATAGATCAAGCATGCAACTTACGCATATTTGCTTTGTCTTTCGACATTGCAGCAACAGCATCCTCATGAGTAGCAAACTCAACATCCGCCTCTCCAGTGACTCTGCCATCAGGTCCAATTTCAATGTGTACTCTTACCGGATTAAGAGGCGAAAAGAACTAAATAACGAACATCATACAGAAGTTGTCAGTCCATGAAAAATACTTATAATCAGCTTATTGTAATTCAATTAATGGAACAAATCGATTAAAAATATACTTACATTATAAATATCATTCTCAGTAGCTCTGTAAGGTAATCCTCTCATATGTACACAATGACCAGTTGTACTTTGGAAAGTAGAGGATCCATCACCATATCTATGATCTGACATTCCTGCAGAAAGGAGAGTCCACTCTAAATCTTTTGTATGTATACTACGTTTCTTCACTACCCGTATAAAGAATACTTACCTCTTCCAAACCTATCAGATCCAAAGCCATAGCCATCATTATATCCGTTGTAGTCATCATAGCCACCATAGCCTACAAACCATAATTCAACATTTATTGAAATGAACCAAACATTGCACTCATTGTAGGCAATTTGTAGAGTAAAAAAAGTTGTGGTTCCTTACCTCCACCGTAAGCACCACGCCTCATTCTTTCAAAACCACTGCCTCTACCAAGGCTGTTATAACCTCTTCCCACACCTGGCCGGTCATAAGGACCAGGCCGCTGCATGGTCATTAATTTGCGAGGAGGGTCATAATGAGTGCGCACTTCTGCTCTGCTACTCTTGAAGATTTCAATGTACCTAGAAGGTTTACATACATAAAAATAGTTCAGGTTTTTTTTCTAAACACACACACACTAAATCACAAGAGATAGTACATTAAAAACCCTGCAGCCTTGGAACTGACAATTATACGCCAGTTTTTAGTAAGAATTATCCAAGGCTAATTTTTTAATAATAGTTTGAAGTATGTGCTAATTAAGCTATCCCAACCTTAAGGGTTAATGACAGCAACAGTCAAAATATGCTCTGGAGGGAAACATGTCCACTCAACAGGACCCATGTTTTGCTCATATGGCAATTGAGAGTAGGGTTAAAAAGCTAGCCTCCGCCAGAACTTTAACCCATCAATACATTACAATAAGCTTTATGTGCTCACAAGACCTATGCGTTTGCATAGCAAATTAGCATAGGCAAAAGATGCATGCTTTGATTAATTAGTCACAAAATTTAGAATAACCCTTTGTGACATTTTTGAAAGTTAATTCTTTTATGTGAAAATTACACAAGAAAATGTTACATCATTGTATAGAACAAGTTTAGTAATCACATTTTCTTATGGTAATAAAAGGCTATGTGTATTTAGAACTAGAGGCATAATTGGTGCTATTAAAGAAATGTAAAGCCATAATCTCTCAACTTCTGTAAATAATTTTAAACTAAATCAGAATTAACAAGATAATGTGAAATAGGGAAGAGCAAAACAAGCACATCAGCCAGTCTGCACATGAATTAAAAGAAAGTAATATTTATGAAAACAAAGGAGGTGTTAGAATATGAAAGTATATATTGTAAAGTGAGCACTTAAGAAGAGAGAATATGGATTTAACAACAGTTTACCATAAGAAGAGCGACATATCCAACCAACCATCCATCCCCACCTGTGCCCTATTCTTTCCTTGTGTTTCTTTAGAGCCTTTTCAGCTATTTCCTGTGAAGCAAACTGCACGAAGGCCTCCCCCGTACTCCTCCCCTGGAAGTCCACCGGCAATGTTATCCCATTTGGCACGATTTCCAACCCTTCAACCCAAGGACAAATAACCCCAGTAGGGGGTAATATTAACATCACGAGCCCAATCAAGATTTTCTTATAGCTTTAAAAATATACCAGAAGTTATACTTTATATTTAGAATCAGTATACCGTAGTATTAACTCTATAACAGAAACATGTCAATATAAATGCAGCAAAGATAACATTCTTAACCTATCCTGCTTGTATACAGATACATTTCTGCAGCTTTAATAACAATCCTCTCTCAAATTAATGCAGGATATGCTAAGAAAAACAATAATCCATTTTTATATAAACAAATTAATTTTTTCAATTAAAATTAAAGCACAGCAAGAATAATTCTACAAATCAGAATACATAATTCAAAGATAACTATGTAAAATATTTCACAGTTCTAAAATGACAATGATTTGTATCATATTATTTCAAGTAATTAAAAATGTAAACATTTTTAAGGTTTGTAGCAAGACCTTTAGAATAGACATTTTTCAATAAAATTTGAAGTTAATACAAGTTGATCTCATATTTCAGAAATACATTTAAGATTCTTTGGTCTACTGCGTGCGTGCATTCAGAACATTTAAATGTAAAGCTAATTTTTATTTGTTTTACTCTTAATTTTTGCTATATAAATGCATGAACTTTTAAGTCAATTTTATACAACTATAAAGACATTGCAAAACATGAAACCAATCCTTTTTATAAACATAGAAAAATAATTTTATGTATTGATGTTTAATGACAGAAAACGTTCTATTTATTTTAGAGTAGATAAATGTAAACAAAGTCTATTTGAAAAATTAAATATTTCAAAATATTCAGCTCTGCAAATATATCTTTAGCAAATAGCAGAGATTATCATATCAAGTCAAAAATTTAATACAATTGTTTATACTATGTATTATCTTATTTTCACTTCCCCACCCATCTCCCCTCCTCCCACATTGTAAACACTTCACCTGATTAAAACTTTTGAAAAATATTTTATATTCCTTGATATTTTGATTGATATATTAACAATATCCAAAGTTGGGCACTAAAATGTTTTCCACTTTCAGCCAATTTCAAAATCAACTGTTTAATTAACTAGAGACTCAGGTCAATTTAGCATTTAGAATACTTGTCTTAGTGGAGTGGAACAATTAAAATAATTTTCCCTCCAATCTATCAACATCAAACAAGAACTAAGCTTCAGTAAATATTTCAAAATTATAGTTCAAGTTTTTATCTTTTTGAACACTTAAAAGGAAGGAATTCAATATTAAAAGTTTAATAAGCATGGTCATGGTTTACTTTATTACTAAATTAATACTTAGTATTCAGAGCCACTAAATTCTAATCTTTACCCATACTTACAGCTTATACCCCACATACCTGAGAAAAACTGAACAATTTCTTCCTTGCTACAACCAAATGGAAGTCCTCTAAGACGTACAAAACCATCATTAGCAGTATCAGGGCTGTTAGGACCAGTATGCTTCAGAACCCAATCCATTTCAACGTTGTTTGACTTGAAGACTGCAAGAGGCACTTAGAATTAATGAATTCTGGAAACTGGCATAAAAAGGCTAATGCACGACAATCATTTGGAGAACAGGATCACATTTATATACACAAAAAATACTCATGCATCTAAATTCCACCCAAAATAACTGATCAGTTACTATGTCAATTTAATCCAAACCTTCAACATATCTGTGTCCCATTGTTTCTCTGTCTTTTTTCAATGCCAATTTCACATCTTCTTCTGTTTCTAATTCAACAAATGCTTCTCCACTTGGTCTTCCTTCTCTTGTGTAGATAAAACGGACCCCTGAAGATCCATTTAATATTTTGCATTCTAAGAAAAAGTGGAGTAAGTTAAACACACAAGGAGACTTCTAGCAAAAGTCAAATGTATGTAACAGTATTATCCAAACCATAAAACTGGAAACAAAATTAAGCAAAAAACGATTATTGTCAAACAATTCTGAAATAAGAAGTCGAAAAGATATCAATTACAATATATATTACAGGCTACATTCAGAACAGAAATTAATTAACAATTTAAGCGGTGAGGAAAGGAGATTCTAATTAACAAGATAATAGGCACAACCCATTAATCATAAGTACATTGCTATCAATAAGATTATACTCTCAGAACAGTAATTTCTTTCTCACCACGGTAGGTATATTCAGAACCACAATTCTCTTCCCTAAAATGTCATCACCCAACATAATGCAATATTATACAACGAAAAAGGAGTATTTCACATTTTACCGAATCTGAAAAGGAAAACTCCCCACAAAACTCGCCCCCGGAAATACTGCTCCGGAGAAAGGAAAGCTTTATTCTTTGCTTTAGCCAGAACGAGAGGCAGAAAACTTACCAGAGAAAAATCTTTGCACTTCATCTGCAGAGCAGGACCAGGGCAATCCCCGCACTTTTACGACATAACCCTCACCGCCTTCCGCGTTCAACATCATGCCAGATGTGAGGGTGGTCTCAGTTTCGCCTTCTGTTGCTAGGGGCAGACAAAAACGTCGCCACACTGAGTGGGGTAGAAATTTCGCAACCCGGCCCATATAACGCCCCCCAGACTTCGCGTTTGCCCATCTCCGCTTTTCCAATGCCTACCCCACGTACACATGGCGACCGATATCCTCGTCCAGGACACTGGAGACGGTTTGAATAGTCACTTCACCTCTCCAAACACAGAAAGCCGGGCGGCTGTAGCGGTACGCGCTGCGTTCTTAGGAAATGGCGGCGAACGAGTAATGCGTTTCCGCTCGGCCAGGCCCTAGTGCCGCTTTCACCTCAAAAAACGCGCTTCGACTGCTGCTAGTAATCTGAAGAGAACAACCGGCTGAAGAGATGGATCCCAAATTCGGAAGTCCTTCGAACTAGTCTGCAACCAACAAATTACTCAACTAAAAGTAAGCTCACCTTCTTCTAAGTCGGCCGCGGCGTGGCTGAAAATGGAGCCCAAAACGCACGCGCGTATATTACCACCCCTAGTGCGCATGCGTCCTGAAGATTGTTTCTTCCCTTCCCCCCACCTCCTTCTTTAAGCGCCACCCCACCCTCTATAGCACAAATCCGAAGTCGATTTTACTTCAGAAAGAAGGCAATTCCAAATAAAACTTAACTGGAATTAAACTAGAGTCGTCTTCATCTTATTTGAAGTATATACTCGTCCCTGCAATCATCCTTGTTCCCACTACGGGGAGCCTGCCGGACGGGAAAAACTATTCGCGTAGCTCTGAGGACAAAGCCCGCCACGTTTTTATCCCGTCACCGAAACTCAATTTTTGTACTCTCCGCTGCTCAATTAACAAACGCATCCAGAGCCTTTCATCAAAACTGCGCTTAGCTTTTTCTTTTAACATTAGCTTAAAGCAAGTTTTAACACATTTGAGCCAATTGTTAACTTCTCAGAAAAGGAGTGTCAATTGCGAGACTTAGCAATTACGTTCACACACAACTTTAAAAAATCGATCCATTAAGCACGCGTAACAAATTTTAGACTTTCAAGTACCTCTAACACTGCGCTCAAAACGTAGCCTTATACGCCTATATACGGCGTATATAGAAGATTAAGTAGACTTTTGATCCTCCGGAGAAAAATTGCGAATACATAGAAACGGGGAAAATGGCGGCTCTATAAAACGAGAAATGGGCGGCGACTTGAAATTTATTCAAATCCGCATCTAAGATCCGGTGACGGGCGAGACACTAGGAAGCGGGAAGCGAAGGCAAAAAGTTCTCTGTGGCCAAAACACGAGGGGTTGGCTGCGCCGTTACAGATTGGCCCAGTATAAACGGCATTCTTGAAGGGGTGAAGGCGGCGCGAGAGAAACTCATTGCGGTTCCGCTCAGCGGACAAAGGCCTTAATCATGTATTGTCCCGCCAAAAGACACTGCCCGAGTCTTAACTCACTGAACTACAGCTTTCAAAAACGCTTGGGAAAAAGCCTCAATTGCATGAAATACAGGTAAGTAGCTTCGCGCCTTATAATAGTAATTAGGCCAAACAACAACATATCTATTAGCTAATCCTGCAAATGAAGTCCTGCAACATAGGTCCAAGAATTTTTTTCTTGAGAGCCAAACTAATTGTTAAGATTGAGCATCACAATTATTTCCCACCTAACCACGACCAAAACAAAACGTGAAAACAGCAAATAGCTAGTTCGGTTTGGGTGGACTTTTAAAAATTATTTCTAATTAACGGGTCACAAATTTACTTAGTAAAAAAAAAAAAAATCAACGAAAAGTTTAAGTGCATTTCCAAAAGCTTTTTATACTGTAAATTGCCCATATTTTTAACACCGATATCACTGTCCAAGGATAGGCATTATTAAAATAATTTTGATCAGAAAATCTTGAATTCCTGTCATGTCTTCCACCCCAGCTGCATTGCAATTACAATATTAACCTCTTGGAAACTGCCAATTCTCATTGCCAATGTTAAGTTCAATCTTAGTAATTTTCAAGACTCAGATATTTGGAAGGCAGTGATGTACAAAATCCTATTACCTTCTATATTATATTTGCTAAATATAAATGACACCTTTTACACAGCTGAGGTTGTCCATAGTTAAATTGTCTGTGGAGATTCTCAATGGTCCAGGTCATGGTTATCCCAAAGGTACTTTACAAAAGACAACTGGACTTTGTTTTTCCATGAAGACATTTTGCTTCTCCTCCAAGAAGAAAAAGCACATTTGGGATTGCAGTTGTCCATTTATTAAAACATTATGATGAATTGGAAATAATTCCTGATCACTTGCTAAGTGGTGAACATTCAAATACCACAGAGTTGAGTATCAAGAGAGTTTTGACTGAAATGAGAGAATGGGACTAAAGATCAGTTCCTAAAATTCAAACCAACATGAATTATTTAGGCTTAGACATTGACACATATGAATTGCCCAAGTCTATAGATATAATAATTTAAGTTATTTTATGTAGCATCTTAACATTATACATGTTTTGTTTCATATTACTTAGCAGTAACTGGTTTTAATTGTGCTATATGTATGTTTACAAGTCCCTGCAGTTTTCTTGGTAAGGTTTTTCAAAAGCGATTTTTCTATTGGCACTTTCCTACATCTGAGGGGCAATAACTGACCAAGGTCACCCAGTTGGCTCTGTGCCCATGGTCTCCCTATTTCTAGTCTGGTGCCTTAACCACTATACCAAACTGACTCTCTACTTCAGAAATAGTTTTGCTTAATACTAACATGAAGTCCATCTGGAAGGATTGGTTCAGCAAGCATCATCTTCAGCATTTATTTCTCACCTTTATTATTTTTATAAATAACTCAAAGCAGCAAACATATCACACACATCTTCCTCCTCCTATTTTCCCTATAATAACCATCCTGTGGGGTGGTTGGGCTAAGAAAGAGACTGACTGACCCAAAGTCACCCCACTGGCTTTCACAGCTAAGGCTTGATTTGAGCTCATGGCTTCCTGCTTTCTAGCTTGGTGCCTTAACCACTAGACCAACCATTTACTTGACTTGACACAGGGAGAAATCTCAAAAGTGTACTTTAATATTACAATATATGCTTGCATCTATTTTACTTTAGGTATGTGTTTGCTCTCAACTCTTTAATCAGGAGACATCACTGAAATAGTGTAATTTATCAGGATTGGCTTGCCTGGCTATTGAAAGTGTTTTGAGTCTGACAGAACAAGATGGAATTATCTATCTCCAGACAACTCCTGAGATATGTTTCCTTCTGCCAAAACTGGTTATAATTTTAAATGTTACCGATATCAAATTGAGATTACAACCATATGTAGATAATATAGACTACAATCTGATGACAACTGAAAGATTTAAGCAAACGTGAAACTCAGACTTCCTCTTGCAAGCTCTTGAAGTTAGATCTTTCAAAAGTATATACATACCAGGATATATATATACTGGCAGAGATCCCATTGAGACACAAAGTTAGGATCATATATTTTCTCAATCTAGATGAAGCCACTTCCCAAAATGGATTAACCACAAAACAAAATCATTGAATATACCGGTATGCAAAGCAAGTTTTGATTTCACCACATACTATTATTTACCTGTGTTATACATATATCCATAAGCATCTTCCAATTTTAAAAAGTTGTTTGGAGTGGGGGAAGATACAAATGTAATTTAAAATATGTACTCCCTAGTCAAGTATTGTTTCCTCTTTCTAGCTCATTAAACTATAATTTGGTGATAACCTTTATAGATTTGAGATTGTATTTTGACCTTGACATAGCATTCCAAATCACCATCTTACTACAGCAACACATTTTCTTAATTCAACTGATACACATTTACAGAATATCTTAATTTTAGGTATATAGGCACAAAATCCAATTATTGCTTACAGCAATTAGGAGTCCTGACAAGTCTAAACCCTAGACTCAAGTCTTCTGATGGTTCTGATGTCAAGATTCCATATACTGTACATACTCACTGTTGCCAGGAAACAACAATGGAGACTCAGTTAAGGGATTCTGATGTTGATTTAAACATTGAAAGTAAAACGTTGCTATTAAAATGGAAGATTCAATATTTAGCTTAGAGTTTGACAGTTATATTATCTGTAGTAGATATGTTAAATGACAAGATATCTGCAATCTATTCACTGATAAATCTAATTAATTAAATATTACTGTAAGACTGCTATCCTAAATCGTTTCTTAAGCAAATTCATCCACAATTTAATTAAGTCCTATTTTCAAATGTACACACTTTATCTCAAAGTTCTTTTTTAAGAGACAACTAGACTTTCTCTTTGAAGACAGTTCACTTCTCATCCAAGAAACTTTTTCAGTTCTAACTAGAAGGTGGGAAATGGAAGGATTTATATTCCTTGCAAACAGCTGGACATTTGTATTCTTTTCGAGAGTCATGGACTTGGAGTTTTGTCCATTTCCTCAGGATCACTGATTACTAGTGCAAATGGCTGTGGAACCTCTTGAAATGTGGTCTGTAGAAATCATTTGTGCTTCAGTTTGAGGTGCAGACAACACAGACTCATCCCCAACAGTCTGCTCCTGTGTTCAACAGTGAAGGGACACAGGGTAGAAAACCTCCTGTACAACTCCACAACTCCGCAGTCTTTTCAACAGTTTTAAGAAGGCTCCACACCAATTTGCACTACTCGGCTAGTAGTGGATACTACTGAGGATACAGATCAACCTCCAAGTGGACTCTCTAAAAGAATCCAAATAACCAGATGCCTGCAAGGACTATAAATCTTTCCATTCCCCACCATCCAGTCTGAACTGAAGAAGCTTCTTGGATGAGAAGCGAAATTTCTTCAAAGAAAAACCAATTGCCTCTTGAAAAAGGACCTTTGCAACGACCATGATTGAAAATCTCAATAGACATATATGCTTTATATTAAGCTCTACATAAGTAGAAAGATGTATAATGTAGGGAATAATTAGAATTAAATGCACTTGAAAGCATTTGCAAAACATTTAGTATATTTTCTATTCTCTTTTTAAAATATAGAAATGCATGAAGTCACTATATCATAAAGGGAGAAGAAAAGGAATTCAACTGGAATATCTGGAAAACCTTCACATGAAATCTGGCTTTATGAAAGGACAATGAGGTATGCATCTTTTGCTACTTAAGATACTTTTAATGCTAGAGAAAAAATAAATTAAAAAATCCTTCAGGGAAGAATGTAATCATGCATTTGAATATTACATATTCAAGGTTAGCGCTCCTTACTACCACTTTGTAAGGAATATAAATGATATATTACAGTACCATAAATGCTTACACTCTGATGAATCTTTAAAGATTCAGGAACAGATGCATTCAGTGGTTTTAACAGCAGATCTTAGTAATATCTGCTTGAATTTTAATCAAGCTTCAGAGATCAATGTATGCAAAACTCTTCAAGGCTATAACTGTTTTAAAAGAAAAAGTAAAATACAGACACAAGAAATATTTTCTAATTTTTTGAATGTAAGTTTCTAAAAACTATGAACCATGAATATTCCAAGAATGAGGTTAATATGTAAAAATATGTTTTAGTTAAAGGATTTTTGGAAAAGTTCCAATATGAAAATGAGGCGAGTACTACTACACTCAAGACATAAAAAATTTACTAAAATACTCATCTGAGAGCGCAATCCCAGTTATTAATTGAAAACAATTAATTAAACTCCAGGTGAAATACAACCTAATTTTCTTTTGCAGAATGGATTCTGACAATCTGACATTTTGGTCTTAGATGTGAATAGAAATTTCAGAAATAAAACAAGAATACCAATTAGAATAAGTATTATTTTTCCTTAATTTACACTGTGATTTTTAAACTCATTACTAGAGGTTCAATTCACAACTTTGTAGTGTATACCTATTTGTTTATCATGCCATGTTTAAATACATCTCATTTTGGAGCAGAATGATACATAACCATAATAAATCACTTTATATTTTGTAGCCAAAGAAACTTCAAGGCAGTCCATCCTTTTCATTTTTATACCATTAGCAAATTCTTCTGTTCATAATCTGCACTATATTTTAATTATATTCCAAATTTTCATATGAGTACCTTGCCCACTATCTCCATTTAAATAGAGACTTATTTATAAATGTATCTCTATGACCAACAGTAAGCAGATCCTTCAGAGTGCAGTGCTTAAGAATTCGATGCAATTTGCAATGTTGGCTAATACTTATAGGTTCAAAGTGTAAGAAACCGTCTTATGTCTTCTATAACAGTTATCTTTTATATAGAGATATATTAACAAACTTAATTAAGTTTTTATTGCAAACACAATATTAAAGCATATTGCTGAAAATGTAAGAACAATAGTTTCTACTTCTCTTGTGGATGTAGTACAAAAACAAAACAAAAGCATACTTATTAAAATATGAGACCAGTTAACCAACTAATAAAGGCCCAGAACACTCTTTTGAATAGATTTCCTTATCTGACAAATAGTCAAAGCAATTTTCAACTGGCTACAGAATACACAAACACAATTCTACCCTCAATATTCCCATTAATAAGCTTCAAATATCTTGGCTTGAGTACCTTTGTTTTCACAGATCAAGGCTTTTTGACTGCTTAGCAAATGAAGATATTGTTCAAGAGAAAAACTAAGAAAACTATTATTTATCTAATGAGCACAAACTACTACACTGATAATAGATTTCAACATGCACAATATTTTCAGCGAACAAATCCAATTAGTACTATTTTATATGTACTTTAATTTCAATAAAGATTTGTTAAGTACAACATCTTTACCTTTTTCATTAGGGCCAATCTGATAAATCTGTTTTGAAACTAATGTCACAAGTATGCTGTCAGCCATATTAATTCTATATTCAGTTTGTCTATTAATGGACAAGTTGAGGAAGACAATTTCTCATAAGAAAAAACTGTACTTATCCATTAAAGCATATTTAATCTAAATTCACAGGTTTGTTCATCAATAACAGTTGTGGTTTATTGTTGATTTACAACATATGTACTTGTCCATTAAGGCTAAATGTTACGCCCAAACCAGGCTGCTGTGGTTTATATAAAGAACCAAAGTTAAAATCCTAACTTGTCAGAAATTTTTACAATTGATTAACACAGTTCACTGCACTAATTAAATTTAA